GTCTCAAATTTGGTGGAGATTGCTGAGCAAAAAAGGGTTAAAATTAAGGTTTGTGGCTAATTTTATTAATAGAATTTTGACATTGATCACCAAAAAATTCCAGAAAATACATTTCCCAATCATTTAATGTGACAAATCGTTTGACTATTATTATGTTTTTGTGGTGATAATAAATGATATAATTTGGCTTTTTGGGAATCTGGTGCTTCCTCATGTGACTTTGACCTAACAAAATTTACATATTTTTTACCACTCAAACTTTAAAAAAATATAAATATACTTTAGTCATCACAAAACTTGAAATTTCATCTTTGAAAAAATTCTGGGGATGTTTTTATAGCAAAATATTCTTGAACTTTTAATTTTTTATGTAGTAATTTTTAAGACAGGAATCCCAAGATTTCTACATATAAAATTAAAATATTTTATAAGAAGATCCCTTTAAAAATTGGTATATGGATATCAGTGTTGTGACCCGAAACTCTGAGTTTAGGGAAGTCCTGAAACAGAAACTAACAGAAACCACCTGAAACTAGTTTAGGTTAGTAGTTTATGCTTAGGTTTAGGTTTAGGTTTAGTTTTCTGCTTAGTGTAAGTTCATTTTCCGAAACATTTTGGGAAGCCAAAAGAGTTTCTGGTCACAACACTGATGGATATACTGAGTTTATGTCATGTATTGCATATACAACTGTAATTTTTAAAATGATATAAAAGATAGTTACATTAGAGATGAAAGTTGAGGTTCAGAAAATTTTAATTAATGTTTTACAAAATTCTGCACCAAATTCTGTTATGAAATTTCTGCACTTGTCTCACATATCATGAATTAATATTATCTAATGATATAAAAAAACATATACTAAAATCTCATAATATTAATATTATTCCTTTCTGAAGTAAATGAAATAATAATAATAATGATAATAAATAATAAATACTAAAATTTAATATACTCATAATTTTTAATTGTTACAATATGACAGATATTAATATAAAAAATTGTAAAGCAATTCCTTTCTGGTATACAGCATAAATATTCATTACATAAACTATATTTAGTTTTGACCTTTGAAGAATATTTTCATTGTCATATCTATTTAATATCAACACAAAATCATCTTGTCCTGCTTCCTATTATTCAACAGAATAATTGCCTGGAATCAATTTTGATAAAGGTAATTCAAATTTTTTTTTGTTATACACAGTGAGTCTTGGTATAGCAGATAATTTGGGCAATTAGAACAAAAATTTCAAAAATCCATTATACCAAGATTAATTCAAGATTTAATTAGTAAATCCGTTAAACCGAGAGAATTTACTTATAGATGGTTCTGAGCTTTGATCCATTAAACTGAGAGTTTTATTAGACATCTGCTATACCAAGGTCCGCTATACCGAGACTTACTGTGTATAGAATCCTGGTCCAGCCAGAATCATAATGTAGCTTGTCCATGTTGTTACTAATATGTTATCAATACATAACAAATACAATTCAGTAATGACAGTACAAGATGAGATATTATGTAAAATGGGCACTCACCAATAATTTGCCATCCAAAAAGCATGCAATCCTTGTTTGTCTTTTTAATATTTATGTCAAGAGCATCTTTCATAAAAACTCCTAGTCTTATAATATCAAGGTTATTTTTTTTCATATTGTTATTTTTTCCTTCACCAGTTATTTCTCCAAACATTGTTTCAAATTGCGATTTGTTATTATTGACAATAGTGCCAATCATATCTGGTTGTTTGGCCCTTGAAGGATCCAACTCAGCTAGTTTATGAATCTTGGCACTTGTGCTAGCAGTATTTGGCCATGCATAGTGTTCCATGTTGCAATCCAAAAAAGGAAACAAAATGGTTGTAAAGGTGGTTGCAATTGTTTTTATATGATGAAAAGATGGTAGCAACCATCATCAAAAGTTGCAGCCGGTATCCTTAGCCATGCAGTAGGATGTATTGTTGCATCATGAAAGAATGAATGTAAAACTGGGCTGATTATGTTAGCAGTAAGAGTTCCTTCACTGAGAAGGCCATCCAACTGCTTAATAGGAATATTTTTAATTCTGTAGGATGGAAGGTAAAAAGTGTTATGTACAAACCATCAAAACAAAAACATCACAAAGTCTAACTTACAGTTGTAAAAAAACAAATTGCATTTTATCAAATATTTTCTGATCTAGAACCTTTTCTGCTTCTTTAATTCCAAGATCCTCCTCATCAAGTATAATCTGTTGCACCAATAAAAAAATTTAAATGCCTTTAAAAAGAACAATATTATGTATATTTAATATTTGATGGATTACCTCAATATACTCTCTAAATGTTGTCTTCACATTTGTTGCAATTTTCACTTTTTCTACATATGTGTCATGTATGTTTTTCCAAAAACATTCCTTGAAAATTTTTGGATTTGTAGATCTGAGAAATTATTTGCTTGCAGAAGTAGAATATGTGACAAATTATAGATGCTGGTCACAATTCTTGGTGATGGTTGCAACTATATTTGCGACATATAAAAATGATTTGTGACACCTGGTTGCAACCACTTTTGGTTTCCTTTTTTGGATTGTGACATGGAACACTATGACAAACTCCTAATTTTTCCAACAAACATTAATTAACTGCCAATAACCATATAACAAATACAATAAGATAGATCTTCAAAGTCTTAACTCACAATACTTCACAACAATTTGTCACAATTGATAAACCTGAATCCTGTGCCATTTGGAATGCTTCATTACGATATATATTAAACAATGCCAAAAGATTTTTCTCCTGAAACATGTACTATGGAGTCAAATAAGTTTTATTAACAAATATCAAAACATATTGTGCAGCCCCCTATGATAATGTTTGCATAACATGCACTGATATTTTTCACATTGCTGAATAAAAGTCCAACATTTGAGTTGCAAATAATATAAATCAATTTTATTTTAACATCAATTTTTATATTACAAATGTGAATGGTTATTAT